GGTCTCACTCTGTGGCCCAGGCTGGAGTGCAGTGGTACAATCATGGCTCACTGCAACCTCAACCTCCCAGGCTCAATTGATTCTCCCACCTCAGCCTCCCAAGTAGCTGGAACTACAGGTTCACACTACCACGCCCAGCTAATTTTTGTATTTTTTTTGTAGAGATGGGGTTTCGTCATGTTGCCCAGGCTGGTCTCAACCTCCTGGGCTCAAGCAATTCTCCCACCTGGCCTGCCAAAGTGCTGAGATTCCAGGCATGAGCCACCACGCCCCACTTAAATTCTTAACAAAGACTTGTTTTCCTCTAATCTCTTGTGCTCTCTGGAGCAGTAGGTGCATAGAGAGAAAAAAAAAAAAAAAAAAAAAAAAAAAAACCCAGAGAACTGAGGGTTACAGAAAGTTAAATTCCAGCTTAACTGAAATAATAGTCTCTTATGTGGCAAAATAGTCTCTCAAATGTGTGATTTTTGTCTTCCGCCCCACATGATCCAGGACTGAATGGCTATGAAGCACCAAGTACTGGTGAGCCAGTGGCGAGGCCCTGCTGCCCCTGCATCCACGTGTGTGGCTACCTTCAAGCCACATGTGTTGGCTACTGGGGTGAGCGAGCTGACTGTCTCCACCCATCACATCCCCATGTCATCGCTCATATCCATCTCCTTAGAAACCCTCCCACAAGGACACAAGGACAGCCACCCTCCCTCCCACTGAGAGTCCTCTCCCTAGCTCTCCACAGCATATCAGCCCTCCCCTACACCTGTGACCAGGTGCTATCTAGCTGTCTAGTGTTTGCTGACACTAATACCTGTAAGCAACCTGAGGTCGAGACTTGCATCTCCGTAGCCCCTCCTTCTCCAGAGATGACATTTCCCAGGTGGTCTTATTTATAAACACTTAAAAACTTCCATACGCCACTTTCTGATTTGAAAAATACAGGAACTATCTCATCTCCCAGAAACTTACAAATGACTGTTGTCTGAACAAATATTCTAAGCTACAAACCCTTTCCTCCCTCCTGGGAGTGCCTAGAGTAAACATCTGTGTCCTGGTAGGCCAGTCCCCAAGGACCCTGGAAGCCTATCCTCTGGGTGGGAGACACCTGCAGCTCTGTGTCTGCCAGGGAGTCAGCTGGGAGAGGGAGAGGGCCCTTGACCCACTCTGCTTCCCTTTCACCTGAACCAGGCCCAGACTCAGGATTTGGCCACAGGCAGAGAAAATGTAAGACATGAGAAAAGACTTCCAGACTGAGAACATGGGCCATGCGGGGTGGGTGAAGGGGAGGGATGAGAGGAGGAAGTCTGATAATGTGGCTGGGGCATGAGCTGGGGAGGACAGGTGGCTGAAGTGGCAGAGAACAGACCCTCAAATCTCTGCAGGACAACTCGTAGGAGTAGTTTTCAGTATTTTTTCATCATGACTAAGAGTAAGAAATAACCATTTTTCATCACGTCCCAGTATATCTCTATCTATCATCTATCTATCTATCTATCTATCTATCTATCTATCTATCTATCTATCTATATCTGTGCATGCACATAGTAAAACTGAAATTAAAAGTTACAACATAATAATTACCATTTTATATGTGATGAAACTGAAATTAAAAGCTACAGCATAGTAATTACCATTTTATATGTGATGATATACTCTGACATTTTCTATTTTATTGCATTAAAAAATTGCTGTTCTTCACCCACTGACTTAATTCACTAGCAGGTTATAGTACGCAACTTGAAAACTCTGCCCTATCATGTCTCAGTTATTTCAGAGAAGCTTCAAGGCTTTGGAATTCCTGCTCTGCATGATGCTCCCACACAGCTGAGCGCCTCCTGTATGCCACATGCCAGGCCCGATGCTGGCAGAGGTGAGGAGGGCAGAGAAGGGTCAAACATGTAGACCAGAGGGCTGTGTGCTCCAGGTGGAAACAAGGGCATCCAAGTGCCATGCAGACCTGACCTGAGGGCATTTAGCTACCTGTGAGCACCAAGGTCAGGTACTACCTCCCAGTGGTCAGCATCAGAAAGCAGAGTATCCTTGTCCCTCACAGCCTGCATGCCCTGTTGAGATCCCAGACCTCTCTCCTTCTCTCCCTGAGAATGGCTCAGAGGGCAGAGGAAGATCAGGTGGCAGCTCTATCTGGAAACAAGAGGATGACTGAATTGATCCTGGCAGCTGCCTGGATGCTGAGAGCTCCCAGGTCTTTCCAGCGCCAGGCTGGGGACACTTTGGGGGAGGTCCCTTTAGGGTGGCTGTCCTTACAGTTCACTTGGGGACTTGTTTCAGAGCTGCCTGTTCTCTACTTACTAAAGCTTTGAAGGCTCCTTCAATAATCTTGAATTGATTTCTCATAACAATTTTGATTTATTTTTCCACCACCCTCTAAGCATTCTGAAAGGAAAAAATAAGCCACTCTGAAGGCACCGTAAGCTTCTATAATTATCCTGCGAGGTGCTGCAGGAGCTCAGCTACAAGCAGTGAAGAGTGCAGAGCTATTTCCCTAGGGAAGGCTCTGCGGCCCTACCTTCTTCACTGTAACCGCAGCCCCTCCTTCCTCCAGCAGGCCCTTTCGTTCTCACCTCCCTCCAGCCTGGGGATGAAGGCTGTGGCCTGGCCCTCCTGCCAGTTTGGGAGTTGAGAAGCCACCCGAATAACTGGGATGGGCGCGGGAGCAGTAGCAAATAGAAGCAGGGAGACACCAGCAAGGGAACAGTGGCTGCCTCCATACGCCCCTCTCCAGATCGGGGGCAGGGGAAGAACCACCAAGGCCTCCTGCAGTGGACAGGGCCCTGGGATCAGTCAAGCTTTTTCAGGAGCAGCTGGCCAGATGGGGTTAACCAGGAGCCCCTCCTGGACAGGGGCAGCCCCTGGCAACTCTATATCACCAGCCTGTCCCAGGCTGAACTGACTGGGAAACACAGCCCAGTCGCTGATGTGTCTTACCTGGCCAGGTGTGTGACAGGCACTTGGCCATGAAGGCTTAGAGCTTCAGTTTCTACCTGTGTCAAAGGGAGAACATCATCCTGTGGATGTGGGACTACACATGACCATTCTTGGTAAGACGTAAGATGCTTCCACATGTAGAAATTATTACTATCGTTCTTCAGAAAAGCGGGGGTATATCTATGCAAGAGGAGCCAAAAACAGCCGATCTTTGCTCTGTGGCTGTGCTTGCTAAGAAACATTGCCAGCCTTTTAGAAGGCGAAGGACCAGGAGATCCGGGCCACCCTTGCTGCCCACTTTGGTACAAGTCCCTTCTTGGACTGCAGCCGACATAGGTACCCACTGGACTTGCTCCCCTACCTGCAGAAAAGCCCCCTTCCTATCTCAAACCACCTTCTAGGGGTGGGGGATAAGCTTCATTTGAAAGATTAGAGGGCGCTGAGGCTCACACAGCTGCTGTGAACCTTCCAAGGCCACAGTTAGGATGTGGGGAAGCCACGGCCAATGCTGGTGAGAACCACCTGTCTACCAGCTGCACATCCAGCTCTGGTCTTGCTCAGTTACTGCCCCATTTGGATGAGCAGGAGAAGGAAGTGCAGGCATCAGAAGGGGCCACAATTAATAGAGACAGGAAAGGAAGGACCCAGGCAAGAAGGGCCTGGCCAAGAATGCAGGAGGCAAAGGGCTCAGAAGCAAGGCCCAGGGTGAGGAGGACAGCACAGCAGGGAGGGCCACGCAGGCCAAGGCATTTCTGGACAGGCTCCTTCTGCTTAAAGACTACTCAGAGGCCCCAGTGACCCAGGAGCCAATCCAAGGGCAAGCTGCTTGAGGACTCTGGTCTTGGGAACCCAAGACTGAACCAGAGCCCACCTCCAGGGGCTCCCCAGACTTCAGGCAAGAGAAGTCCATCCTGGGCACAGGGCTGTTCTGGAATCACATATTCCTGTCCTGGCACTATGAGTCTCACTATGTAACCCGATGCTCTCTCATGATATGTTTGGTCCTTGGTTGATTCACCTGTCCAAGAAAAGACCCAGAGCCTCAAAGGTCAGCTGGCCCTGCCTCCTACCCAGCCAGGGCCACAGTCCTGCCTGCAGCACCCCTGACAGATGGGCACTTGCCTCCACATGAGGCAGGCCATGCCCCAGTAGCTGGGTCCAAACTACTAGGAAGCTGTTGCTTTTCATCAAATGGGATAATGGCTATAAAAGGGCTTATAACAATGAAAGCATAACTGAAGGGGGTTATTATGAACATCACTGGCATTAGAACAGCATCCACATTAGAGGTCATGTGAGACAGGGTGAACTGGGGCGGAGCCACCGAAGGAAGGCGCTGCAGGAGGGAGGGCACACAGAGACCCCGCCCAGTGCCCAGGTTCTCTGGGCAGGTGAGACCACTACCTGGAGCTGAGGCTCGGCTCTCTGAGGTCCTGATGAGACAGGAGGTACATCATTGCTGCAAGAGGAAGGAGGGGCTGCTTCCTGACCTCAGCAGAATCCACCCTCCTGGGGTCTGCTGTTTGCAGAAGGCACCTATCAGACCCCTGGCTCCCTGGTAGTGAGAGCCCTGGCAGGCTGGGCTGACAGAGAGCAGCGTGTTTGTCCTGGAAGGCACAGAGTGGCTGTGCTGAACGTGGCAGTCTCTAATGGGCCCTGCTCACCCCTGTGAAGAGGTCTTGGTGAAGGCAGGGGACTTGGGGAGGAGAAAGCACACAGAGGGCCACAGCCGAAGGGTCTGAGACCACCTAGGCTGGCAGGCCAGACCCGGAGAGGGAGGGCTTGTGGCCCCCAGTGGCCCAGCTAGTTCAGAGCTGCATGGTGGTGAAAGCCCAGGTCATCCACCTGCCAGGAAAAGCCAGTGTCCCACCCAGCAACAGGCAGGCGACAGGGCCTCAAAATGTCTACCTTCCCAAGCCCCAGGCCCTTTGTTCAGGCGTGTGGGACAGACAGCCCAAGCTTTCCTTCCCGCCTGTGAAGGTCGACTTCAGAGCCCTGTGCCCCATGAGTGCCTTGTACAAGCGCAACAGCCCAGGGCCGAGTGGGCCGGGCCCACTCACCTACGATCTCGTTCTCCTCCAGGTTGATGGTCTCCAGCGCCGGCAGGGCAGTGAGTGGCTCAGGGAAGTCCTGGAACTGGTTCCGGGACAGGTCAATGGCCTTGAGGTGCTGCAGGGCACTGACCTCGCTGGGGAGGCGGTGTAGGAAGTTTCCCTCCAGGCGGAGCTCTGCCACATGCAGGGAAGGAGAAAGAACAGGATGAGGAGGGAGCCACCCAAGCCCACAGGGACTGCCGGCTGTGGCTGTCACCCTGCCTGGGCTAGGAGGGCATAGAGGAAGCCCTAAGCCACAGAGAGAGCTCTGCACAGTGCTGATTCCATGTTTATTTGCGCTAGAGGAGGGGTCATCCTCCTACCACTGCCTAGGGCCTGCCACCTGTCACTCCAACTGAGGTCGCCTGCTGCTGGTTTTGAAATGGAAGGCTCTCCCAGCATAAGCTTGGGCCTCAGCAAGGGGTCAGGAGGTGGTGGCTCCTCCCTCATACAAAGCCTCGACTCCAGGCCCTGATGGGGCAGGTCAGGATGGGACGCCTTTCCCGCTCAGGGCTCCCCACACTCCATTTAGGGGACACCACTCTCCATGGCCCTCCCTACTCAGGGGGCCGCCAGGGGCAGTCACATTCTTTCAGTGTCACGTACCCCTTCTCTCCTGGCCAACCAGAGCTGACCCAAGGTGGGGGGTTCCTGCTCCGATAGCAGCTGCTCCGAAGGCTGGCCAGTGAACTGTGCGAAGACCTGCGTGGGAAGGCAGCTGGGCTGGGGGAGTCCCTGTGCTGGGAACCCAGCTGTGGCAGTGCCAAGAGATGGGGCCGACATAGTGTGGGCTGAAGCTGAGATGCCTCAACCTAGTAAGAGAAGCCGGGCGCCCACAGGGCCCTGTGCAGGGAGGAGAGCTGGGGGCAGGTGGCGAAGAAGCAAGGGCGGCAGGTGGCGAAGAAGCACAGCCCAGGGCTGATGGGAGGAGGACCTGGAGTCTCCATGCTTCGGTGCCCACCAGCCGTGCCCCTTACTTTCACTGGTCTTCCTTAGGATGTTATTTAATCCCCACAGAAAGGACATCGTCTCACCTGCAGAAAGGAACTAACATCAGAATGCCTGTCTCCAGGGCTGTGGGAGGATTAAGTCTGTGAACACGGGTGAAGCACCATGACAGGGAGGGCGGAGGTGAGGCCCTGGAGGCTGCCCAGCCCCGTCCACGTGTGGCCTTACAGTGCCTCTCTCCCCATCCTGTCTGACCCAAGGGAAACTGACACCCAGAAATGCTGAGTAACCTGAAGAATGTCCCCCAGTTCTTCTCCCCAGTGCTGGCTTTGTGGGCATGGGCCAGTGCATTCACACAGGGTCTCATGCTCAGAAAGGCCCCACACTTGGGATGGAATACCCTGGATGGCCATCTTGAAAGTCTTAATAATCTTATCCTTGAACCTGTGTTTTGTCAGTGGAGCTGGAGTCATGGAGTCTGAGCTCACACATGAGCCGACCTACTGCCTCCCCAGGATGGCAGCCTGCTCTCCCGCCTGGCTGCCCCTCCTCACCCCTGCTCTGCAATGGCACTGCAGCCCTCCACCTCAGCAGGGAGGGTCAGAGTCAGGCGTGTGTCCCACATGTCTCAGGGCGGAGCAGGCAGGCAGCAGCTCTCCTTCATCCTCACCTAGGGTCCCTGGGGCTTAGCGGGAGTGAGCCTCTTACCCACCCCGGACCTAGGTACTGAGCAGGTCATGATGCACAGGTTTTAAGAGCCTTGGAGTTGTCTGCCTGCCTTGGCTGAGGGTGGTGGACTCTTAGAAAGAGAAGACCTGGCTGAGCTTCCTCAGATCACCCCGGGCCAGGGTAGAGGGCAGCCATTCTAGCAACTGCTAAGAGCAGAAACCTAGCAGCTGTCAGGCCTGAGGGTGCTTGCATGGGTGCCCTGCAACATGGACGGGGCCCCTGGGCCGTCTGTCCTTCCTCCCTTCCACCTTCTGACCCTCCTGAGTGTGGTTTGAGTTTGTCCTTCTGGACTACTCAGGAGAAAATAAGCCACAAAATATGAGTTATGTGATTTCATGGTTCTACATGTGATTTAAATGCTCTGATAATTGCACTTAAAACTGGCATTGCATAAAGATAAATGGTAAAACTCATGCTAAGTTTTGATCTTTCAAAAGTAGTAAATATGAAATAGTAAATGAAAGTCACCATGACATGCTGAGAGAGACTGTAAAAGAAAGGAAAAAGCTTCCTATGTAACTTTTAGAAAAATGACCCCTGATTTCTGGAATCATTTCTCTCTGTGCCCCACCAATTTTGCAGCTGGCCCTGCCCCTCCCTCAGTGCTCTACGCCTGCTCTTCCACAGCCCTACAATGAACGCCGCTGCTCTGAGCTCCCCACAGCCCCTCCCAGGTGAAAGCCCCTACAGTGAAAGCTGACCCCCTGCCTCACTTCCCAGTGCCTCTTTGTACACACACACACACCCCACACACACACACCTGGGTTCCAGCCCCACTGCAAGTCCCCTGCTCCAGCACACTGGGGTTCTGGGGAGGTAGGAACTGCATCTGATTTATCTTTGTCCCTACAAGAGGCACCTTGTATCACTCAGCAAATATGTGACTCGGCAAATATAATGACTCTTCTCCCCTCAGGGGGCAAATAGACAGTGCAGGGGGCCTAGTCTACCTTCCATTTTTCCATCTTCAGGGACGTCGGAGCCCAAGGTTCCATCAACAGAAGAAAGAGAGAAAGAGAGAAGTGGGGGAGGGAAAGAAAGAAAGGGAAGGAAGGAAGGAAGGAAGGAAGGAAGGAAGGAAGGAAGGAAGGAAGG